GGTCCCAGGCCACGTAGGTGTTAGAGGGAACGAAGAAGCTGACGCAGCTGCAAAGTCAGCAAGTCCTTCTCAGCATACAATGCGTATTGAAGGAGGTGATTTGAAGCTAGTCATTAAAAAAACGACTAGCGGAAAGATGGCGAATTGTGTGGAACGCACAAGTCCACAATAAACTACACGAGATCAAACCTATGATAGAAAATTGGACACATAATAATCGGTATGACAGGAGATCTGAGGTTATTCTTACTCGTTTGAGAATTGGGCATACTCCATTGACTCATTAATAACATTTGAAGAGTGATAACCAGCCAATATTGCAACTGTACCGTAAGAGTTGAGCACATAGGCCTACTGATCAACTCATTGCCTCTGAGAGGATTCGTAGACAGCATTTTGGAAATGCAAGTTTTAAAGAGATTCTGGGCGAGAGGCCGAATCTTGATAAATTATTGAACTTTCTGAAAGTCACAAATATTTATAAACAGATTTAATTAATTATTTATTTCTTATTTATATATGTTAGGATCAAAGACCGAAATCGCTCATTGAGCGAAAAAAAAACGACCACAAAGCGGAATTCGTGTCGTGGCCTTCATGATATTTGACCACTACGCGTTGTAATGCTTTATTTGGAAAGATATTTATATAGTTTATGTGAAGATTTTTTCTCGATTTGCCCACTGGCCTTCGCGTATATCGGATTACAATGTTACCTAAAATTATCTTTTCTACACTTAATTTACAGATTCTCTCACCTAGTGCTAACAATATCAACAAGATTTCCTGTCGACCTCCTTTTCCATCCAGCAAACAGCTAAAATATGTCGATTTGACAAATTCGGATGTGGCAAATTCGGATTTGACAAATTCGGGAATGGCTCGAGATAAACTGGAGCCAACACAACTTTCTTAGTGTTGGTCTTTCGTCGAATCGTTTCGAAATTGTAATACTTCCAATTTATACATCGTAGAAGACACTTTTATCTTGTTCGTTCGATGATCGCATTTATAACTACGCTGTTGTAAACAAATTAGAATAAATATTTTGTCTGGTTCCATTCTGTTCTCATTTCCAATAACACAAATTCCCAGTCGATAAATAATTTATTGTTTATTTTGACACGAATATAAACGAATGTAGAAATAAATACAGACTCGGTAATTAGGGTTTGTTTATGCAGCGTAAACTATCGAATCGTCATTTCTTCTTCATTTATTAATTAAAAGGAAGAAAGTTCATCGTATATAAGGAGTTGCTCGAAAGACACGGGAGACGATAGCAGCTTACGATTCGAGATTTGTCGAATGTTAGAAGAATAGCGGAATAAAAACTGGTGAAAGAAGAAATGAGATTCTTAATCATTTTTCCTTATTTATGTATCGTCGTAATCTGTTGCGAAGACTTCTGGAAACAATGGAGAAAATCCTCTTGCGTGTCGTCAGCGGGTACGTGCTACAAATCTAACAAATTTTCCTCCGTCGAAATCTACGACGAATTGTTATCGGTCAAATGCTATCGAGAGACAATCGACTATCGTTTGCTGCGATGTTTGGACGTTAAGACTGCGAAAAGGGTGCATTTTACCGACTGCTACATGCCGGAGTTCGAGGTGGGTCGATTTGTTTCGGGTCGCGCAATCGTTCGGGTCGTCATTAGCACTGGAGATTACGGAGTTCTATCTTTTACTAATATGCCAGCACTGAAATCTGTCGAAATTGGAGGCATAAGAACCGGTGGATTATTTCATTTGAATTTTCAGAATGTCCCTTCGCTTATCTCTTTAAAGATCGAAAACTATAACTTTACTTCATTATCTCGTAAATCTTTCCAGAAGTTGACAAATCTTTCTGAATTGTATATTACGTGGGGTCCTTTAAAACTTTTACACGAAGATTTGTTTTATGGTCTTTGCAATCTTCAAAAATTGGACTTAAATGCTAACGGCTTTCAATCGGTTCCTTCTTCGGTCTTTAGAAATCTCACCCGATTGGAGTATTTGAATTTGAACAGAAATAGAATCAAGTATTTACCTAGTGACTTGTTGCGAGATCTTTCTAAATTAAGAACATTTTCTATCGAATCAAACAATGAATTGGATCGAATACCCGCTCAATTTCTGAAAGGACTGCACAAACTGGAGAAATTTTACGCCTGCAGTTGTTCCTTTTCTTCAATCGACGAAGTTTTATTTTCCGATGCGAGAAACTTGACAAAAGTGTGTTTTGACGAAAATCAAATTGCCCATCTTCCATCAAAACTGTTCAGAAACAATAAGAATCTGGAATATATTTACTTTACGAGTAACGAAATATCAACACTTCCGAGAGGAATTTTCCGCGGACTTTCTAAACTACTTACAATAAGGCTGGATAAGAATCGTTTGAAAAGTCTTCCCCGAGACATTTTCTCGGGTTTGACGTCATTGCAGTACGTCGATTTGTCGCATAATAGCATCACATTTATATCCGAAAATACCTTGCAGCCGCTGAATCACTTGAAGTATCTCGATCTCTCTCATAACGCATTTTCTAACATTTCTTTTGAAATTAGCCAGAGCCTGGATCATCTGAAGATGAAAAATGCAAGTTTGACAGAATGGCCGCCCATTAATTGGACAAGACACGAATTGACTCACGTCGACCTTTCGGATAACGACTTCGAAACTGTAAAACTGCCAATTTACACGCCAAATTACATGGGATTTCGATTGTCTAACTGCAATATAAAAACTATTTACCTGGATCACTGGCTTTATGGGCTGAACATGCCTTTCTACGATCTAGAAGGTAATCGTTTAGTTTGCGACAATGAACTTCAACCGTTTCTATACACGTTGAAGTCAAATTTAGAAATATCTCTGGAAATTTTTCCAAATATAAAAGATTTAAATTGTTACGGAGAAGACAAGAAAGTGCTCGATGATAAAGTTTTCTACCCTTTAAGAAGACACTGCCCGGTTAACTGCCAATGCTTCAAAGATGAAAATGTCGTAAAGGTAAACTGTGCCAAAAAGGAGCTAGAAAATGTTCCCGAATTCCTCGTCGATAATGCTGCTATTGTGGATTTGAGTTATAATTTCATTACAGAAATTTCGAGAATAGATTGCGACACGTGGAGGAATGTGACCCATTTAGACCTCAGTCACAATCTCTTAAAGCGTTTAACGGGTTTCGCGTTGCCACCCAGCCTCAATTTCCTGTCTTTACGCGAAAATTATCTATCAGAACTTCCGGAAACTGTAATGAAGTTGATGGACGTTTCCTCCCAATTTAAGATTTCCTTATCGGGAAACAATTGGAACTGCGACTGCGATTCACTCTTCACTAAGGACTGGCTAGTCAGAAACGGACAAAAGATAATGGATTTTTCCGAAGTCTTCTGCGGGAGAGATTCACACAATTCTTCGTTTAGTAAAATTGTTTCTTCCGACAACTGTAACGAAACATCAAGAAAAACAACAATGGACTCCGAAGAAAATATTTCTATTGAATTTTAGGTAGCCTCGGGGTGTACGTAGTGATAAATCAATATCTTGTGAGAACACAACTTTGACGGCACAGATTTGTCTGCACGCGTGTAATTCTGCATCTTCCAGGTATTGAAATATGTAATAAACTATTTCTGGGAATTATGTCAATAATGTCGAGCTGCGTTGAGATATTTGCCATATTTCTGTTGTCTTTTGTGTGTTTCGGCCATTTTCCGTAAATAAAAACAAATTGTTAACTCAACGTTGTNTGTTAAGCACATACTGTGCAACTGCATTGCCTCTGAGAGGATTCGTAGACAGCATTTTGGAAATGCAAGTTTTAAAGAGATTCTGGGCGAGAGGCCAAATCTAGATAAATTATTGAACTTTCTGAAAGTCACAAATATTTATAAACAGATTTAATTAATTATTTATTTCTTATTTATATATGTTAGGATCAAAGACCGAAATCGCTCATTGAGCGAAAAAAAAACGACCACAAAGCGGAATTCGTGTCGTGGCCTTCATGATATTTGACCACTACGCGTTGTAATGCTTTATTTGGAAAGATATTTATATAGTTTATGTGAAGATTTTTTCTCGATTTGCCCACTGGCCTTCGCGTATATCGGATTACAATGTTACCTAAAATTATCTTTTCTACACTTAATTTACAGATTCTCTCACCTAGTGCTAACAATATCAACAAGATTTCCTGTCGACCTCCTTTTCCATCCAGCAAACAGCTAAAATATGTCGATTTGACAAATTCGGATGTGGCAAATTCGGATTTGACAAATTCGGGAATGGCTCGAGATAAACTGGAGCCAACACAACTTTCTTAGTGTTGGTCTTTCGTCGAATCGTTTCGAAATTGTAATACTTCCAATTTATACATCGTAGAAGACACTTTTATCTTGTTCGTTCGATGATCGCATTTATAACTACGCTGTTGTAAACAAATTAGAATAAATATTTTGTCTGGTTCCATTCTGTTCTCATTTCCAATAACACAAATTCCCAGTCGATAAATAATTTATTGTTTATTTTGACACGAATATAAACGAATGTAGAAATAAATACAGACTCGGTAATTAGGGTTTGTTTATGCAGCGTAAACTATCGAATCGTCATTTCTTCTTCATTTATTAATTAAAAGGAAGAAAGTTCATCGTATATAAGGAGTTGCTCGAAAGACACGGGAGACGATAGCAGCTTACGATTCGAGATTTGTCGAATGTTAGAAGAATAGCGGAATAAAAACTGGTGAAAGAAGAAATGAGATTCTTAATCATTTTTCCTTATTTATGTATCGTCGTAATCTGTTGCGAAGACTTCTGGAAACAATGGAGAAAATCCTCTTGCGTGTCGTCAGCGGGTACGTGCTACAAATCTAACAAATTTTCCTCCGTCGAAATCTACGACGAATTGTTATCGGTCAAATGCTATCGAGAGACAATCGACTATCGTTTGCTGCGATGTTTGGACGTTAAGACTGCGAAAAGGGTGCATTTTACCGACTGCTACATGCCGGAGTTCGAGGTGGGTCGATTTGTTTCGGGTCGCGCAATCGTTCGGGTCGTCATTAGCACTGGAGATTACGGAGTTCTATCTTTTACTAATATGCCAGCACTGAAATCTGTCGAAATTGGAGGCATAAGAACCGGTGGATTATTTCATTTGAATTTTCAGAATGTCCCTTCGCTTATCTCTTTAAAGATCGAAAACTATAACTTTACTTCATTATCTCGTAAATCTTTCCAGAAGTTGACAAATCTTTCTGAATTGTATATTACGTGGGGTCCTTTAAAACTTTTACACGAAGATTTGTTTTATGGTCTTTGCAATCTTCAAAAATTGGACTTAAATGCTAACGGCTTTCAATCGGTTCCTTCTTCGGTCTTTAGAAATCTCACCCGATTGGAGTATTTGAATTTGAACAGAAATAGAATCAAGTATTTACCTAGTGACTTGTTGCGAGATCTTTCTAAATTAAGAACATTTTCTATCGAATCAAACAATGAATTGGATCGAATACCCGCTCAATTTCTGAAAGGACTGCACAAACTGGAGAAATTTTACGCCTGCAGTTGTTCCTTTTCTTCAATCGACGAAGTTTTATTTTCCGATGCGAGAAACTTGACAAAAGTGTGTTTTGACGAAAATCAAATTGCCCATCTTCCATCAAAACTGTTCAGAAACAATAAGAATCTGGAATATATTTACTTTACGAGTAACGAAATATCAACACTTCCGAGAGGAATTTTCCGCGGACTTTCTAAACTACTTACAATAAGGCTGGATAAGAATCGTTTGAAAAGTCTTCCCCGAGACATTTTCTCGGGTTTGACGTCATTGCAGTACGTCGATTTGTCGCATAATAGCATCACATTTATATCCGAAAATACCTTGCAGCCGCTGAATCACTTGAAGTATCTCGATCTCTCTCATAACGCATTTTCTAACATTTCTTTTGAAATTAGCCAGAGCCTGGATCATCTGAAGATGAAAAATGCAAGTTTGACAGAATGGCCGCCCATTAATTGGACAAGACACGAATTGACTCACGTCGACCTTTCGGATAACGACTTCGAAACTGTAAAACTGCCAATTTACACGCCAAATTACATGGGATTTCGATTGTCTAACTGCAATATAAAAACTATTTACCTGGATCACTGGCTTTATGGGCTGAACATGCCTTTCTACGATCTAGAAGGTAATCGTTTAGTTTGCGACAATGAACTTCAACCGTTTCTATACACGTTGAAGTCAAATTTAGAAATATCTCTGGAAATTTTTCCAAATATAAAAGATTTAAATTGTTACGGAGAAGACAAGAAAGTGCTCGATGATAAAGTTTTCTACCCTTTAAGAAGACACTGCCCGGTTAACTGCCAATGCTTCAAAGATGAAAATGTCGTAAAGGTAAACTGTGCCAAAAAGGAGCTAGAAAATGTTCCCGAATTCCTCGTCGATAATGCTGCTATTGTGGATTTGAGTTATAATTTCATTACAGAAATTTCGAGAATAGATTGCGACACGTGGAGGAATGTGACCCATTTAGACCTCAGTCACAATCTCTTAAAGCGTTTAACGGGTTTCGCGTTGCCACCCAGCCTCAATTTCCTGTCTTTACGCGAAAATTATCTATCAGAACTTCCGGAAACTGTAATGAAGTTGATGGACGTTTCCTCCCAATTTAAGATTTCCTTATCGGGAAACAATTGGAACTGCGACTGCGATTCACTCTTCACTAAGGACTGGCTAGTCAGAAACGGACAAAAGATAATGGATTTTTCCGAAGTCTTCTGCGGGAGAGATTCACACAATTCTTCGTTTAGTAAAATTGTTTCTTCCGACAACTGTAACGAAACATCAAGAAAAACAACAATGGACTCCGAAGAAAATATTTCTATTGAATTTTAGGTAGCCTCGGGGTGTACGTAGTGATAAATCAATATCTTGTGAGAACACAACTTTGACGGCACAGATTTGTCTGCACGCGTGTAATTCTGCATCTTCCAGGTATTGAAATATGTAATAAACTATTTCTGGGAATTATGTCAATAATGTCGAGCTGCGTTGAGATATTTGCCATATTTCTGTTGTCTTTTGTGTGTTTCGGCCATTTTCTGTAAATAAAAACAAATTGTTAACTCAACGTTGTATAACTTACACGAGTGATATAAGGCTTGGACTTTCAATTTAACATTATTTACAATGAATTATTCCCAACAGTTGACTCCAGTAGTTTCCTTTCTACACTAATACAAAAACAATGAAATAGAAACGCATTTGTAATTAAATGATATTTAATTACTCAGGGGCAAGAGGCAACACCTGCTTAAGTAATGATATTTGTTCAGAAAGACATACGACAGATTTTGTTATAAAATATATAAACTTCTTATATAAAATTCTACAAATACCATCTTACAAAATTATTTTAAGAAACAAATGATAAATGAACGAAACAAACGCAGAGAGAAAGTTGTAAACTTTAACAAATCAGTATTTTATTAGCTAATTTACTAGTTTGTTGTTAAAAATGTTATCCCATAAAAGGTCTCGTGCCCAAATACATTAGAAGCTCGGTCCAACTATCTGATACAAGACAAGAATAAAAGCGTGCCCCACGAGATTTTCACATTTTTGAGCTCGAGTTCCCCCGAGCCCAAAAATGTGAAAATCTAAAACGGGGTCATTGTTCCCGGATAGCCATACTTTCCCCTTTGTTATAACAATCGGGAAATTAATAAATAAACAGTAAGACACGAATAAAAGTAAGGGCTGGCAAAAATATCCCAAATCAGGCTCGGGATTGGCTAGGATTTCGGCCGACAACCAGAGCCGTTACTTAGCGAGGAGTAACTAGACAGGAACCCGGCTTCTGGCTCTTCACCGGGTTAAACGCTTTCGCAGCCATTGGCAAAATAATAAAATAAAAGTGAAATTTTTAGAGGTACGTCCAGAGAAATCAAACCATAGATCCTCTGGGTTACACAAAGAGGATAAGGAAGGAACAGAGCACTTATTTTTACTTTTGTCTGTTTCTGCTTTGAGAGCAATAAAAGAGCCTTCTTTCTACATCCGAAGTATAGGAAATGTTTTTGATTCGTGCTAATTTAAACTATTTGAATATACCGCATTTGTGTTTAGTTAGGTCGATGATCGAGATTGAAAACCGCGCGATTTATTTCACACCATACGGAAACCGATTATGACCCATTACACCCGCCTTGGGGTAAAAACGGTTTCTTTGGCAATGTCAGTTCAAAAAGTTTACGGTAATTTAATTTCTTCACAAAGCGCCAACCCTTAAATCACAAATGCTCTGTGAACTAAAAAGATGTAAAAAATTAATTTAATTAATGAATTAATTAATTAATAAGGGGTCATGTAGCCTGCTCTTTTATCTATATTTTCATTTTAAAATATTAATTTCTAAAAATGTGTTAAAGAGTCCGACTTTCTTACTTAAGTTAACGATTTTCAAAAGCTTTTCAACAAATTGAAAGCAGCTAATCTCGAAACGAATCGCCGGAGATTCTCCATTGAAAATAATATTAATTGTTATAGAAATAGCAACGATGTGTTACACAGAATACAAATTTTAATAATAAATTTTCTGATTTACAGATTGTTACTTTCATTTCTGTTCTTTCTGTATATAAAGTATTGTTTTATTGTCGAATTTCAATATTTACTTTGCCATTGAATTACAGCTTTATTATATAATTATTAGACATTTTCGAATATAATACTTGAACAAAATTCACCACAAAAGCATATACAAAATGGGGCAAATAAAAGTGGCCCGGACCAGTGGATACGATTAGACGTAAATTTATGCGTATAACCACACCCCGTGACGCGCATACCACGTGTACGCCCGCCACGTGATCCACACCGGTTCAGAGGGTAGAGCGGGCTGTGTCAGTGCGAGTGGAGCAGTGGAAAGAGGACGATGGTACTCACAGTGGAGCAGCGGGAGTTCGTCGTGGAAAGCTACGCGACAACAAAGTGGTGGAAACGGTGTGGTCAGTTGTTTGTTGAGCGGTTTAATGGTGTCAACGTGCCAGCAAAGAGTGCCGCGCAACGCTTAGTCCGAAAATGGCGTCAGACAGGATCTGTTTTGAACAAGTCAAAAAACATTCCGGAACGTGTCCGCGCACCAGAAAATGTGGCTGCAGTTTACCAGAAAATGCTTCAGAATCCTACCGAATCAACCGGACGCCTGTCGCGAGAGACCGGCGTATCACGTCGATCGTGCGGACGAATACCCCACCTGGACCCGCGCACGCATTCCTACCGAGTGTCTGTTGTTCACGCATTATAACCAGCAGACCTCCAGTTTTGCCAGTGGCCGTTCACCGAGATAACAACGAATGGCTCGGACACGGATCTCTTCTTTACGTCTGACGAAGCCCGGTTTCACCCGAGTAGTTACGTCAACTCGCAGAATCGCAGGTTCTGGGCAGCGGAGAATCCGCATAACTTCCACGAAATATCATCGCACGATCAGAGGGTTGGGGTTTGGTTCGCAGTGTCTCTCGCCGACCATGGCCCAAAGGTGCCAAGAAACGAATGGTGGTCACTTTCAACATCCGCTATAGTCAGGTTAGTACTGTATTTCCTTTCCTCCGCCGTGTTTCTTTGTACAGGCATACCTCGACTTACGTCGTTTCCAGTTACATCGTTCCCGATTATACGTCGTTTGTCAAAAAAGTATATGGAAAAATAAAAATCAAGTTTAAGTCATTTTATTCGACTTTACGTCTGTCCGCCACAAATATTGAAGTCGTAATATCACTAGAAAAATGTTTAAAGCACATAAAATCATATTAAAATATATACGAGTATGTTCTGTATTTACAGTACAGTACACGCATTCGTAAATTTAAAATACTTTTTTCTGTACTATATTAAAAACTAAAATTTATTTGTTTGTAAGCTTAAAATAGATTTTTATTAACCATATATTATTAAAAATGCATTAATAAATAAAATACAGAACCGGAAATGGTAATTTATGGTTTAGCCTACTGACAAATAGATTCGGAGACAAGTAAATTCGACTTACGTCGTTTTCCTGGAACCAATTACCGACGTAAAACGAGGTATACCTGTACTCGGGTCACTTTTATTTGCCTCACTCTGTAAAAGTAACATTTGTTACAGCACATTCGAAATAAACAAAATTCCTTTCTATAGAAACAAATGCAAAATAACCGGTTTTCGTCCAACCGCAGCAATTTGAGGTTTGACGTTGGACATACGAGCAACGCCGTGCCGAAATATCCATTGGATTTTTATAAATCAATTAATTTTTAATTACAGTCGATTTTCTCATTTACAGGTAGCGTTATCCACTGGCATAAAAGTTAGAATAATTAATTAAATATAATTCTTACAAAAAAGGATATAATTATAAAAAATATATATTATATTCACCGAATTACTGCCGCAACGATATAGCGCCAAATACACACGCCGTTACGCCATTATTGCGAAAGGTAGCGCATAACACTCGCCTGCTCGGAGCGTAGTAGTGTTTTGCCCCGTACATCATCTTTTTCCCGTTAGCGATAGAGTCGTACCGGTTACGTATCTAACTCCTTTCGGGAGAAAATATTTGTATTCGAGTCGGTGTCTACTTCACCGATGAATTTGGGCCATTTCGTACCATCCGAGTACGGCGATAAACGCGACAATGGTAGGCTGAAATAACCAAACTCTTTACGGTATACGTTTTAATCTTTGTTGTATTATAGTAATTGATTTATATTACTAGAAAAGTTATCTTACGTCAGGGTTTATCACACCGAGTGATCAATTTAACACTCTTTTGATTCCGTAACACGAGAAAAAGATAAAATCGTTGTTTATATCGTTTCTCCTACGTCCGATTCTATCGATAAATTAATACGGAATGATTTGATTCGAGAAAAACCTTTCCGCAATTCGAATTAAAATATTACGTAAACGATGCACCTTCTATTCCGGAAGTAAACGAGATTAAGCGATCGCTTTGGGTGCGTTTACTTCTGAGCTAATAGTGCTACTTCCGAACACCGGAAGTGACGTCATCAGCATGTGTATTTGTGCTTATATGTCCAGTTCGAAAGTAAACGCGAACGCTAACAAGAAATATGGCGGTTTCCTGCAAATAATATTGTCAAAGCTGCTATTTTAAATGTTACGTTACAGATATAACTACTTGATTCCGAATCGGACGAGGATGATTTTATTGTGGATATAATTGTAGAAAAATGAAAAAAGAAAAAAGAAAAGTAAGGTAAAATAAAAAAGATAGAAACTTTTATTGAAGAGACTCTACCTTTTTATAAGCCAACCGATTTTAAACAACCTTAGACTTACAAGAGAATGTTTTGAAATTCTCCTCTAAAAAATAAGCCCAATTATAGACACCGAAAAATTACTTCCTCTGGAAGA